AAAGCAAACCGCTAGGCCCAGGACTTGAACCGTGGTCAGCCATGTGGGAGTGTCCAGCATCTTAACCACCATGCCACTGCTAGCCCCAGTTTTTATTTTTTTTTTTTACTATTTTTCTTGTCATTATTATTGTTATTCCCATGTAGATCACATAATTATTTCAACAAATGTTAGTTGAATTAACCCATCAGGCCTTATATATTAATCATATTTTTACTTTATCTATAGTTCTCAATTTGTGTTAACTTTATAGAGATGTGCAGCATGTTGTTTGATAGCGTCCTGTCTTCTGATTAAATTTTCCTCTTGATAATTTAGATTTGCTACATGGAAATACTGTCTCTCTCTTTTTTAGAGTCCTATTACTACATTTCTCCATTAGTTGGTGTCTTTTTCTTGGCTCTCACCCCTATTTGGATTATAGTAGCTGCCAAACATCCAGCCACAAGGACAGTTCTCCACTCAGGATGGGAGCCAGTCATAACCGCTATGATCATAAGTAGGTTAGTATTACAGTGTGTCTGTGTGTCCTGTTTGCATAGATCTGTGTGCATATTAAATCAATTGCTCGCTTTTATTTCTTGGATTAATCATTTTATTTGGTGAACTTATTACTCTCTCAGGTAATAAGGAATCTAAGTGGTGGGAGTTATTGAAACCAGTAGACTTACAGAGCCTCATTTGGCTACAGTTTCAGACTTCTCTCCAACCAAAGCCAGATTGTTGAGTAAAATTTCATTGTGTGTATGTGTGTTAGCCTGACAAGGACATTACTTATTTTGAATAGTAAGCCTGAGAGATGTATACTATTTGGCTTATACTACACACACACACACACACACACACACACACACAGAGGAAATTTCTTTCTGGGGTAATTCATCTGTGCAAAAGAAAAGACTTGTAGATAGTGACCACTGTGGGTCCTCTAAGAAAAGTACTGCAGGCTTACCAGCTGATGAACTCTGCCCTGTACACGAGAGCTCGAGTTTGCCTTACAGTGCCCCTTAGAGAGGGGTAGGCAAGGAAAGTTCTCCAGACATTTGATGTACCAAAAACAGTACTCACTGAAAGTGCAAGGTTAGTTGGTGAGCCTCAGAAAACTGTCAGTATCCTCAGGGAAATAAGAGAAGCTATGACATCCGTGATGTAGGAACAGAATGCTGCAGTAGGAGGGTTTGGAAAACAAGGGGAGCTCTTGGGAATTTATAGACATAAATAGCAGAAACAAAAAACTAAATAGAAAAGCTAGAAGATAAAGTTGAGGAACTTCCCCAGAAAGTAGATCAGAATAACAGGAAGCTACCAATAATTAGAGCATTATCAAATAAATAATAAAAGGAATAATATAAGGAAGCAAGTGTTTCTGGATTGAAAGAGCCCACTGAGTACCCAGCACAATGAATTAGAGTAAGAGGGACCCAAATCAAAGCATGTTATCATGAAAGCCCAAAAGCTCCCAAAGAAAAAAGCTACATAGAAAGGACTGGGAATGCAAATGATACCCACTAGCAACACCAAGATGGTAACTTCAGCATTCAGAGGGAAAATTATTTTGAACATGAAACATATTCACAGCATCAAACACATATAAAGGAAAACTAAAGAAATGTTCAGACTGGGACCAGTAGTTGGTGTAACGGCGATGTCGCTGGACTCCCATGTAGTAGACGGCTGTTCTAGTCCTGGACCTGGTGGCTTAAACTCACGCTGGGCATGTGTGCATGCGTGCCCAAGATCCCGAGAGGAGAATGGAGGAGAAGGGATCGCGGCGTGGTCATCTCCCCTGAGGGTGATTTCTCGCTTTCGTCTCTCTGTCTCTCTCTGTCTGTCTGGCGAGTGTGCACGCCCTATAGCAAAAACCTCTCAAAAAAAAAAAAAAAGAAAAAAAAAAAGAAAAGAGAAGAAAGAAATATTCAGACTTGCAGATCTCAAAGAATTTACTTCCTATATGCCCTTTCATGTGAAGCTGATAGAAAGTGAAGTCTGTTCAAAATGAAGAAATAAGAAAGAAGATGACACAGGACTAGAGAAACCCATTCTGTGATAGTACGTGGTTCATTTTTCTGTAAAGTAGATTGCTTTTTCCTGGAAAATCCAGGCAAGGGGATCCTGTGAAATATTGGGGCTTAGCCACGTAACCAAGCCATGAAGACCAAGATCCAGCGTGGAGGAGATTGAAGGGCGGTGCAGTGATAGTCGTACACTAGGCCTGGAGAGCAGCCCTCCACTGGCTGGACAGCGGGGTTACAGAGAGGTGTCTGGACCAAACAGAAGTGGCATCAATTGGCCACCTATGAGTTTGGCTGTATTGAGGGGTATTTTATTACCTTCATTATACATTTGAGGCTGAATGAGTAATAGGTATCTAAAAAGTGAAGAAAATAAGGGGCAAAGCCAAAAAGCACAAGAAGGGATAGCTAATAATACATTTTGTGACTCAGATGTGAATGATTCTATTGTTATAATAGAGTCAACCCTAAATAATTTCCCACAAGTTATGACCAGATTGGCAGGATGTGGGGAAGAAAGATTTGTGATGGGATGAAAGTGGAGTGAGAAAGACTAAATTCTCGTCTGCCACGATAGCAAGTCATTAGATAAATATCTAAAGTTTAAATAAAGAATACTAAACCAGTAGAAGCAGGTTATTTAGAAGTATAGAATTAAATGCCAAAAATAACAGCTATAGAAGTTGAGATATATGTATATGTATATTCTTGCTACAGGGCATGTGCGCTCGCCAGAAAGACAGAGCGAGAAATCACCCCCCGGGGAAATGGCCACGCCGCTATCCCTTCTCTTCCATTCTCCTCAGGATCTTGGACACGCACGCATGCACGCCTGGCGCGAGTTTAAGCCACTGGGTCCAGGACTCGAACCACGGTCGACTACATGGGAGTCCAGCGACATAGCCATTACACTAACTGCTGGTCCCCAAAATATTTCTACTAGAGAAAAGGATCTATGGGTGGAGCTAGGAACTGTTTCATTATAAACTTCCTAGTATTTTCATTTTTTAAATAATGCACATGCATTTGATAAAAGTAAACTTTAATAAAAATGAAGAAAACTTTTATAATTTGATCCAATTTTAATTTAAAAATACACATGTTAAAAAATATCTAAAGTACGGTTGGGAGATGTTGGACAAAGGATACAAAATTTTAGTTTGAGGGGAAGAATACCTTCAAGAACTCTATTTTACAACATGGTGACTATAATTAATAACAATGTATTATGTCCTTGAAAATTGCTAAGACAGATTTTTAACTGTTCTCACAGCAGAAAATGAATAATGTCTATATTAATTAGCTTAAGTCATTCACATTGTGTACATATTTTAAAACATGTCATAAAAGAAAAATATATGCAATTTTCATTTATTAATTAAAATAAATAATAAAATATAGAAGTAGAAGATTGTCTAGAAGACAATGTACCAATATACTAACAGTATAACTGAATAATAAAACTAGTGTTGATTTTTATTTTCTTCTTTTTGTTTGTATTTTCTAATTTTTTCCATAATAAGATTTATTACTTGAGTAACAAAAATATTCAAAATATTTTTAGCAAGTGTTCATGTTGCATCTTCAATATGATCTACATGTTTTGGCAAGGAGATTTATTTTTTGACTCATAACTAGTTGTTCTTGAAACATGTATTTATTTTTATAACTAGGGCTTAACAGATTAAAATAATCTAAGGAGGACTATGTTTAGACTTCATAGTATACCTTTTTAATAGACTGATTTTGATCTCAGAAACTGAAAAAAAAATCTCCCAAGTTCCGCCAAGACCTTGAGAGTGTGGTTCGTCACTGTATGTCTGTTACTTGTCACGATCAACCTTTCTGTGGCTGCAACACATTATTTTAATTTATCAGTGACAAGATACATCCTCACTATATCAAGTTTAATATAATAAAAATCATCCCTTTGGGACCAGCAGTTTGTGTAATGGCTATGTCGCTGAACTCCCATGTAGTTGACCACGGTTCAAGTCTTGGACCCGGTGGCTTAAAACTCAATGCCGGGCGCGTGTGCGTGCGTGCCCAAGATCCCGAGAGGAGAATGGAGGAGAAGGGATTGCGGCGTGACCATCCCCCCTGGGGGATGATTTCCAGGACTCGAACCACGGTCGACTACATGGGAGTCCAGCGACATAGCCATTACACTAACTGCTGGTCCCCAAAATATTTCTACTAGAGAAAAGGATCTATGGGTGGAGCTAGGAACTGTTTCATTATAAACTTCCTAGTATTTTCATTTTTTAAATAATGCACATGCATTTGATAAAAGTAAACTTTAATAAAAATGAAGAAAACTTTTATAATTTGATCCAATTTTAATTTAAAAATACACATGTTAAAAAATATCTAAAGTACGGTTGGGAGATGTTGGACAAAGGATACAAAATTTTAGTTTGAGGGGAAGAATACCTTCAAGAACTCTATTTTACAACATGGTGACTATAATTAATAACAATGTATTATGTCCTTGAAAATTGCTAAGACAGATTTTTAACTGTTCTCACAGCAGAAAATGAATAATGTCTATATTAATTAGCTTAAGTCATTCACATTGTGTACATATTTTAAAACATGTCATAAAAGAAAAATATATGCAATTTTCATTTATTAATTAAAATAAATAATAAAATATAGAAGTAGAAGATTGTCTAGAAGACAATGTACCAATATACTAACAGTATAACTGAATAATAAAACTAGTGTTGATTTTTATTTTCTTCTTTTTGTTTGTATTTTCTAATTTTTTCCATAATAAGATTTATTACTTGAGTAACAAAAATATTCAAAATATTTTTAGCAAGTGTTCATGTTGCATCTTCAATATGATCTACATGTTTTGGCAAGGAGATTTATTTTTTGACTCATAACTAGTTGTTCTTGAAACATGTATTTATTTTTATAACTAGGGCTTAACAGATTAAAATAATCTAAGGAGGACTATGTTTAGACTTCATAGTATACCTTTTTAATAGACTGATTTTGATCTCAGAAACTGAAAAAAAAATCTCCCAAGTTCCGCCAAGACCTTGAGAGTGTGGTTCGTCACTGTATGTCTGTTACTTGTCACGATCAACCTTTCTGTGGCTGCAACACATTATTTTAATTTATCAGTGACAAGATACATCCTCACTATATCAAGTTTAATATAATAAAAATCATCCCTTTGGGACCAGCAGTTTGTGTAATGGCTATGTCGCTGAACTCCCATGTAGTTGACCACGGTTCAAGTCTTGGACCCGGTGGCTTAAAACTCAATGCCGGGCGCGTGTGCGTGCGTGCCCAAGATCCCGAGAGGAGAATGGAGGAGAAGGGATTGCGGCGTGGCCATCCCCCCTGAGGGGGTGATTTCTCACTTTCTGTCTCTCCGTCTCTATCTTTCTGGTGGGCGCATGCGCCCTATAGCAAAAACTTATCAAAAAAAAAAAATCATCCCTTTAAAGCCTTTTACTTGAAAACGAAAAATGAAAAGATACTTTTTTTTTTTTTTTTTCAATGCCAGAGAGTGGATGCCCTAGCCAGAGAGAGGGAGAGGACCAAAGGGGAATTTCCAAGGGAGACTGGTCACATTGTGGTCTCTTGCTCTTCTGTCTCCCCCTCCTTTTGAGAATTTGACATGCATGAACGCAGGCCCAGCATGTTGCTCAAGACTCTGGCTCTGGGACCTAAACTGCGTGTTTGGCCACGTGGGATCTAGCTTCCTTAACTGCATGTCCAGGGAGATGGGCTGTTTCAAATTGGTTATTAAATTATAAGAGTAATAGATGACACGGTTTAAAAATTAATAAACACACAATATAAAATGACTGTCCGTGTCACCTCCTAGAAATAAACGTGGGTAATAATTTCTTACATATCCTTCCAGACATCTTAATGCATTTAAAGCATATGCTTTTGCTTTATATAAGTAGCATATCTTGGAGATCAGTCCTGACATTAGGAGCTCTTGCATAGCAGTGTTTTATTTTCAACAATGTACTGTTAACATTGATTATTACTTTGAACATTTTTCTTCTCATTCTATTTTTTAAATGTGTAAATATTTTTAAACATTTCAAACAAAAGGCATATCTGTACAGAATGACTTCAAGTATATTCCCTTTCATCTTCCCTCAAGTATATCATTTTCTGTCTTTCAGCATTGGGGGCCTTATTCTGGACACAACTGTATCTGATCCAAACTTGGTTGGGATTGTTGTTTACACACCAGTTATTAATGGTAAGAATTAGATATGCTGTTTTACAATGGTATCAAATCTTTATATACTAAAAGGAGTCTTAGTGCTCAGATTTTTTTTTTTATTTTTATCACAATTTTTAGAGTAGGGCTTTTTATTAATATCATTCCAATAATAATTTTTCTGCTCTGCACTGTGTATATTTAAGAATATAATCAATATGGTGAAAAAAAAACCCACCTGTGTTTATTATTATAGTAGTATAAGTGATAGGATAAAGTAACTGTAAGAATTTCAGGTGCCAAGGTGAGGGAGTTTGTGACAGTAAGTGGCAACCTGAGCAAACCAGCTAGCAAATTCAGGAAGGGGAAGCACATCTTTGCTATGACTGAGTCCATGGAAAGATCTTCAGAAAATACATAATGCAAGAAGAATGAACATGATGCATTTAACATTCTTTCATCTTTTTTTTTTTGCACTACAACCCACTTTTAGTCTTTTAAAATTAGTATTATTTATTATTTTTATACATTCAGTCATTGTACATCATTTAGTTTGTAAAGAGATTTTACCCAACACGATTAGGGCTCAGATTTTAAGAGCTCTTATCCTTGCATCCCAGTCCTCTCCCTCCAACCTCATGTCATTGCTCACAGTGGAAATTACATTTCCTGATCTCAGTATGCAGAAGACATTTTTGAAAAGAGCTCTTTCTTTGTTTCATTATTAGATAGTAGCTTGTCAGGCATACCTGACTTTTTAGGTTAGCATGACAAAATATGATGTTTTATACTGGATTATCATTCACTTTGGATTTATCTGCTATCTTATATTGTTCTGTTGCTGCTTTTGTCAATTTTCATGGAAAATTAATTTTAGCTAGGTTTGAGCATTGCTTGAGTCAATTCAGTTCATTAAAATCTGTTACTTCTATGCAGTCCCCTTAAAAATCTGCCTTATATTTTTTCTTATTTATAAAGTGGGAATTACAACACTTAAATTCACAGGGATTTTCATATGAATTACATTTACTGAGATAATTTTAATCCAGTACTAGTGGATTTTAGAGTGGCTGTCATTAAACTGGATATTAGTATAGCCTGGTCAATATATAGTGGGAAACAACATGTCACAGGATATATTACACTTCTTTTTTTTTTTTTTTTTTGAGAGGTTTTCGCTATAGGGCACGTGCGCTCGCCAGACAGACAGAGGGAGACATAAAGACAGAAAGTGAGAAATCACCCCCCAGGGGGGATGGTCACGCCGCAATCCCTTCTCCCCCATTCTCCTCTCGGGATCTTGGGCATGCATGCACATGTGCCCGGCCTGAGTTTTAAGCCACCAGGTCCGGGACGCGAACCATGGCTGACTATGTGAGAGTCCAGCAACATAGCCATTACACTAACTGCTGGTTCCCTTACACTTTTAATATACATTACTTTTGTAATATTTAGGTAAAAGAAAATAGGTTTTGCAAAGGCCAATCCTCCAAGGTCTAATGTCATAGCTAAAATTTCCACTGCACATTTTGTATACCTTTAAAATGTCCATGGACAAATTTACCCTAAGGTCATTATCCATTCAAAAAATCACAGACCCAACTAATTCAACATGGCCCTTCATCCTCTTTCAGTAGAAAATGACCGAATGTGATCTATTTGCCCTTTAACATGGTTCACTTGTTCATTTATTTATGTAACAAGCATGTCTCACTATAGCCATCCTCTCCAGTACTGGGTCATCTGAAAAGTCATGGTGCATTTTTGCATAAAAAAATGTTGTGGCTTTTCTGAGGACCCAATAATAAAATAGCCTTTCTGACTCAATCCCTATTCAATACATAGTAAATGTCTCTAATAGATTAGTATTTATTATTTTTAAGTATTTATTTAATATGATTTATCCAATCATTTATTTTTTTAATTGACCAGAGAGAGAGAGAGAGGGAAAGTGAGGAAGCAAGCCACCAGGTCCAGGACTTGAACCGTGGTCAGCCACGTGGGAATGTACAGCGCACTCAACCACCATGCCACCTACTGGTTCCCAATATATATATATCTATGCTAGCATTTTTTAAGCATTATTTTTGTTGTATCAGTTCTAAGATGAGGAATTTTGCAGTGTTCCCTCCTGACTATCAAATCAAGTTAGAATTCTTCTGCCTAGATTTCAAGGCCCTCTATCTGCTGTTGAACTCAGGGTTCCCAGAAGAGGTATGAATTCTTTCCATTATCATTCTAACTAGCTTCTTGAATTGTCCTCACAAAAATCATCTTATTTTCACTGCCTAGAGTAAGTACTGCTTTCCTTTCCACCTGTTCAAACCCTCTGCAGTGAATATTAATGGATGAATTCATTAGCATAAATATTATGTGATAATGATTGTGGGAGCTCTATTGAACAACATTTCAGTGAGAAATTTAACTTAAATTACAACAACCCCTTTATTAGTAAGGCTTTAATGAGTATTTCAATTATTTCACCTTATATAAGAAACAATCCAGAGCTTCACTGAAATGTTCTCCTTAGAAGTCTGTGTCTTGCCCTGGCGTGGTAGTAAACCCTTTCTTGCATCTCAGTAAGTAAACCTCTTAATTGCATATCACAACGAGCTCATCTTGTGTTAAAAATCACTCTTTAAAGATATTGCTGGAGAAGATTCACGTTCTTCAAATAAGGTAGAGCTGTTAAAAATAGAATTGTATTTTAAATATGCTGGGGGATTTAAAGGACCCCTGTTTATTGTTATTATCATTATCGTTAGCTGTTTAGTGAGTACCTACTCTGTACTAGGTAACTTACAGGTCTTTTACACATGTTATATCACTTGATTCTCCAAAAAGATGAGTAGTTTGCCCAAGATCTCATATCTAGTAAGTAGCATGTCAGGATTTAAACACATATCTGCTTGATTCCAAAGGAGGGTGTGATTTTTTTTTTGTCAAAATATACAGCTACTAATTTGACTTTCTTATTAAATGTAAGAATAAAGTGAGGCATATTTGTGCTGATGATGGAATTAGTCTACTATCTTTTTTTTAATAGAATTACTTATTTTATCTTATTTATCAATATTATTATTATTTTAAATTTACTATAGAACATGTTGCACTCACCAGAGAGAGGCCAGGAGGGAAAGTGAGAAAGCAGGTCGCCAGGTCTGGGACTCAAACTGCGATCAGCCATGTGGGAGTCCAGTGCCCTAAACAGCATGCCACCTGTTGGCCCCAATATCTTGCTTGTTGATTTTGTGGTTGTTGTTATGGTTGTTTTTTTTTAAGAGAGATTTTTGCTACAGGGCATGAATGGTTTGGCAGAGACACAGACAGAGAGAAAGTGACAAATAATCATGGGGGTTGGGGTGGTCACACCACAATCCCTTCTCCTCCATTCTCCTCTCTGGATTTTGGGTATGTGTATGCACATGCACCTGGCCTAACTTTCAAGCTGCCAGTCCAGGACTTAAACCGTGGTCAGTCATATGGGAGTCCAGTGCTACAATCACTATGCCACCTGCTGGTCCCTCTGTCTTGTCTTTTAATGCCTAGGGCACATGTGCTTCCCAGAGAGAGGAAAGAATGCGCCTGTGCAGAAGTATTCCCCACCAGAGCATGGTCATGTTGCAGCCCTTTTTCCTCCGTCTCTCCTTTGCATCAGCATACTGAGCACACGTACACACATACCCGGTGTGTTTCTCAAGCTGATGGGACCAGGATTTGAACTCCACTATGGTCAGCCTTGTGGGATCCAGCTCCCAACTGACAGCTTTTATTCATTGGCCCAGGATATCTTTCAAAACTTATTAATAACTTTTTTAACTAGGAGCATTTTCCAAAATATATTTCATGGTAATGCTAGTGCTGTGAGATGTTAAAAAATAGGACTTCAAAAGTGAGTTCTGTGGTCAATTAAATGTGGTGAATGTTAGGTTAAACAGATTTCTTTACTACAGGTTTTCTAAAAGCCTTTATCATGCTAACAGATACTGTGATTCTCTCCTTCTGGTACTTGTGATAGCTAGGTGTTGGAATTTCTGGATCTAACCTTCCTTCACACTCTCAGATCACACTTTGAGAACCACTCATCTAAAAATATATATTTTATATTTTTATCACAATCTACTTTCAAACAATAATATACCACTTTACACACAGGAGAAAAGCCTTATTGAAGATAGTACTTGAATTACCATTCCTCTTCTTCTTGTCTTTCTTTTTTTAAGCTTTTGTTATAGGGCATGTGAGCTCTTCAGAGAGAGACAGAGACAGAGAGAGAGTGAAAGTGATGGATGGAGGGCCAGGTGGATGGCCACACCACAGTCCCTTCTCTTGCATTCTCCTCTCGGGATTTTGGGCACGCACACACATGTACCCAGTGTGAGTTTCAAGCCATCAGGTCTGGGACCTTAACCATGGTTGGCCATGTGGGATCCTGTGCCTAAATTTCCACCCCACATGTTAACCCCTTTATGTCCTTTATTAAAAACAAATTTTAAGTGTATTTATTTCTTCCATGACGGAGAAACAGTGAGAGACAGACAGGAGCCTCAAGAGGTTCTTCATGCCATTATCCACCCCCAGCCTCTGCTAGCCCAGGTCACAGGCACCTGTGCACCCCCGGTGCATAGAAGGAGACCTCAGGACACGAACCTGGCACATCCCATATGATTAGAGCATTGTGTTAGCACCGCTGCACCAGCTGGCCCTCGTATGTGCTCTCAATCACACACTTTACTTTGGTATTATTTTTGTTTTTAAACAGCCAGATGTTTCTTTAAAGAGATTAAAAGTGAATAAATTATATATTTTATATTTTCTCATATAAATGTACATTTTCAGCACTCTTCTTTCCTTTTTTGTAGATTCAGATTTCCATCTGGTATTATTTTCCTTCTGACTGAAGTTCCTTTAATGTTTCTTGTAGGTAGGCCAGTAGAGAAAATAGAGGACTTAGATATGGTCTCCCCAGCATGCTCTCCTTTCCTTTCTCTCTCTTTTTAAAGTTAATTTCATTTATTATTATCATCATTTTTATATTA